AGACAAGAATACTAGATCTTAGAGATGGGCAAAGCCAACTAAGTTCACTTGACCAATCTCTTAACCAATACACTGCATTTCACTGTATTTAGGATGGAGCAACAGCAGTCAAACCTAAGCTAATGAGGATGTTGAAAAGTACACACTGGAAATTGGTAACACATATATTCAAACATCAGGACTACATGAAACCTACACCTAATTAATCAGGTTGTTTGCTATAACTGATTTGAACAGGATTGCTGTATTAACAGTACCAACTACACCACACTTACGATTTTCCATGTTTTTTTTATAAGGTCACAAAAAACTGCAGAAATAACAAGTGCATCAGCATGAATTTAAATTCCTTTTCATTCAGAAACATTTTACGAATTACAGAAAAATTTGGCATGGGTGCATGTATCCACAGTTGGTTTTGTTTTTCCATCTCTGAGTTACATTAATGGAAAAGTACAGTTAAGCTCCTTAACCCAGTACTATGCCTGAAAACTGTAACATCGTAGCACTTACCGATTATATTCAGCTCCTCTGAACAGATTTAAAGGATTTCGCCAGACTTTGCATTCTGCAAGAAATCAAAACACACAGTAATGAACCTCTCCCAAATTACAATGGTACTTGATGTTTATCAAAAACAACAGTTAACATATAATGAGTCTTATCAAACGATTCATTTTTTCTAGGTGAAAATGGAAAAAAATCAAGAGCATTGAGATTCAGATAACCAGACTGCTCTCCCTTTCTTAAATAATAATTTAATTATAAATTAGTGTCAACAAATGCAATCATTCCAGACAAATAACCACTAACAAAGCCCCAAATGCCAGATGAAAAGATAATATTGATTAGTGCCAAGACTCACATTTACCATAATGCAGAACTGAGTTATTACACTGAAAAACAGCAATTAACTCAGTCCCTACAGACTTGTTATTTCTTCAGGAAAACATCACTGTCCAGTTAACGTTGTAAATCACTGAGAATCTCAGCTACAGTTGCCAAATTTAATTCCTCCTCACAGCTCGTGAAGTAAAAATCCATGGAAACATCTGCTGTTCTTACTTAAGTTATAAGCAGATGCTGAAGCTGACTGGCAGAGAAAAGTTCACTGCGTTGCAAAGGTTTGGGAACATTAAGAGCATTTTATAAATTTCCCTCAGGGGGAAAAACTGTGAATTCTTTGCACTACAAGAAGTAATAGAACTGAAAATCCACAAGAATGTAATTTAAAGCAGAACTAAAAAAATATAATCAATATCTATAGCTTTTGAAATGGTGAGGTCTCGATTCTGGCTTTTCCTTTAATTTAACACCAGGTTTATTCTCTTAATTTCAACAAAGACAATTCATTGACTCCAGTGAAGGTGAGACCAGAATTAAACATAGTACTTGTATAAGGACTCACTGAGAGGCAGCATACCGTTCTACCACAGATTTGCTACTGGATGACACCTCACATGGTGCTCTGCAAAATCTCATCAGTAGCACTGGCCCTCCAGCATTTCACCAGCTGCTTTCCACTAACAAAAGTCAATCAGCACATTTTTCCCTATGAAATTTTGTGGCATCATTTCTAAAGGGATCACAACATTTGTTTTCTGGTAGACTTAGAAGGGTATCTTTATGCCTGTTCCATTAAAGAATGAGACAGAAATACTGAACGGCAAGCCAAGCCCTTCTCTTTTCTCATGGACAGAGCTCCCACTTCTGAGTATGAGGCTACAGTGGCATGGACAGAAAGCATATTACATAAATTATTTGCAGCAACATAAGGACACCTTCAGCTACACAAAGACTAGTCAAGTGGCATAGGAGGTAGGCCCTCAGTTTGCTGCCTACAGCACCCATAAAGTGTATAAAACAGACACAGGAATAGGCAGACTTCGGGCAAGAGTGACTGCATTCGTTATACATCTCTATCTTTACACTACTCACTTCAGCAAGCAGCTAATATTAGAAAGTTCCACTGGTTTACTCAGCAGAAGTGCTTGATCGACATTTAGCTGCTCTGCTGTGCAGCCAGAGGGTATGGCTGCTTGACAAGCTTCAGCTCGACAGTTTTTACATCATATGACTTTCAAACCATTGTAAATATTAAATCAACATGAGACTTCTCAGTTCCAGAGGTATAATTCAATGGCTTGACTTATTTTGTTTGTAACCAACAAGATTAGGTGACAACTATTTGATTGCAGTGGCATCATTTCTTTCATCTTACTTAAATTCAAGTGGCTATGCTTTATCCAAAGTATGCGGTATTTTGACACTGTAGCAGGGGAAAGGTTAAACTGGGCAACAAAAAGGGGAGGTGAAGAAGGGCTTTTATTACCACCTCCACATTCTGGGGGTGGTTTGGCATCTGCCTGGCTAGTTAAACATGGTGTGCTCTTGTTTCTTTCATCTTGGTATCTGCTAGCATGTTGGCCAGTACAACATTCGTCTGATCTTTCTAAAGAACAAAGGTATTAACTGCAACTTTCTACCACAGTCAAACATCTACATAGGAAAACATGGTGAGCCAAAAGAAAAAGCCATCTTGACCTTGTTGGATAGTGAAAGAAATATCCCAGTGTTGATGCACGTTAAACTGAAAAGGTTGCCTTTTCCATTACCTTACAAACTAATAATATAACTATGTTATTTTAACCTTTCAGATACTTGTACCATGATCGTGTTTTGAGCACTGATATCTTTCTTAAGGTATGAATAACAGGCTATCCGTAGATATACCTTCCAGAGACTAAGAGTCCCAACTCAGTGCCAATGCACTGAAAGCAAATGCACTCCTTGACTATTTCTTTTTATCAGAAAAGCCAAGATGCTTGGGTGAACCTCCTTAGTCAAAATACTGTGCCTTCTGCTTTAAAATTATGGGAGTTATTTCAGAGCTGCTGAAGTGTGACTGAGCACACTGATGAGTGCACACAGGTGTTTCCAAGCCATCCTATTGCTTTCTGCCAGTTCACCCAAATCTAATATCCTGGACCATGCAGTGCTGCTATTCACAGCCTCTCCTCAGATGGGAATGACAACAGCTGAATTTGCTGTGATATATGGAGGATTCCCTAAGGAGAAGTACCCTGTAGAGAACAAGGTTTTTTGAGGCCACCAATTTTATTTAACATGTGAGTTCAAAGCTAATTTTTGTTTGTTTGTTGTCACGCACACTGAAGAGCAGAAATAAAATTTGTTAGGTACAGACATAGGCATCTCAGCTGCTGAACAATGTTTTCTACATAACTGCTTTTTTTCTTTTCATTCATTTTTCTTCACTTACTAATTCTGTCCTAAAAGCCTGCAGAGGAAATGGATTTAATAAAATTGCAATTGATTCTAGGGGCACATCCCTAATGAAAGCTGAATTAATTTCCAATATTAAGATTATGGCCTGTATACCAAGCTAGGGCTGAAAAAGGTAAGCTTCGTTTTACAGAGGAGGAACACAAGCCAAGATGCTCCAGCCCTAACTTTAACAGTGAGTATCTCCAACTCAAGGCAGAAGCAATAGCATTTCAGCGTCTTCATCACTCATGGGCTAATTTTTGAATTCATTCTCCCCAGGTAGCTGAGTCACCTAAAGTAGGGAGACAAGTTCCCCTGAGACTCCTTCAGTCCATAAAGATCAGTGCTTGGGGGACTGATTTGTTTTAGGCAGGATGGCCTGTCTCTCAGAGAAAGCATCCCCCAGGCAACCTGGCACCCAACTCGAAGTGCCTCAGGCCTGAATGGCTTAAGGTCAGACACCTTCCTTCACTCCTTGCACTGAAAGTTGTAGGAGCTCTGAATGCCTGGAAGCTCATAAAAATTGAGCCCCACATGCCTGAAATGATGCCTCCTAAACTGGAGGCCTTTTTTTAAAACCTGACTATGTTAGGACTTGCCTAAATTCACAAATCAAATCGGTAGCAGAGTCAGGAACACAACAAGCCCTCAAGCTATTGCAAGTCACTATGCTTCCTCTTACTGAAGTGAAATCCAATTGTTGTTTACATACTGCTTACATTATTTAAAAAATAAAGTAATGCAAAACCAGATGGGTATTCTAACATCTCTGCCTGATTATACTTTTTTTTTACAACTTTGTTATTACTCAAAACTATTTCAATACAAATATTACGTGCCTCTAGAATCACAGAATCGATCAGATTGGAACGGACCCCAGCGGGTAACCTGGTTCAACCTCCCTGCTCAAGTAGGGTCATCCTAGAGCACATGGCACAGGATTACATCCAGATAGTTCTTGAATATCTCCAGTGAGGAGATTCCACAACCTCTCTGGGCAATCTGTTCCACTGTGTGGTCACCTGCACAGTAAACTTTCTCCTCCTATTCAAGTGGAACTTTCTATTCATCAGTTTCTGCCCATTGCCTCTTGTCCTATTGCTTGGCACCACCAAGAGACAAAAGCCTGGCTCCATCCTTCTGTCACCCTCCCTTCAGACTCATAGATATTGATGACGTCCTCTCTCACTCGTCTCTTCTTGAGGCCGAACAAGCCCAACGCCCTCAGCCTTTCCTCGGTAAGAGATGCTCCAGTCCCTTAATCATCTTTGTGGCCCTCCGCTGGATAAACGGTGCTGCAGAAAGGGCACGTGGACTTTAGCAGGGCTTTCAGAACAAGGGGGGAAATAAATGCATCAGCCACGCAGCCCGAGCAATACGCACGGCACGAACTTGGAAAGATGCAACTTGCAATTAATGAAGCAGCTTTGCCTTTTGTTTGACAACAGCACAAGTGTAAAGGAAGCCGTTCGTGGTCCCGCTCACCGGAGACGCTCTGCCGGTTCGCGTCCGCGTCCCCGCCGGCGGCGCTGGCGGCGCTGGGCGCGCTGTTGTCCACCCCGCCCAGCAGGGGGCGCAGGTGGCTCACCGAGACCTGCTCGATGAAGGACGTGCCGTACTTGCGGAAGTACCACCACTCGAAGATCTGCAACGCGGAGACACCGTCAGACGCGCCGCCCTCGGGCCGCCCCTCGGCCTGCTCCTCCGCCCGCTCCTCCCTCACCTCCCCGTTCCCCACCCCGCTCCCTCGCCCTGCATCCCGCTCCCGCCTCAGCCCGACAAGTGAAGCGGCAGCTCCAGCCACCGCGCGCCCCCTCCTCGCACATCCCGAGGGAGGCACCTGCCCGCGTCACCCCTGCCTGAGGTTAACCGGGAGGTTCAATGGGATCCAAGTTTAGGTGGGGAGTCTCAAATCTTGTCATCTTGTCAGTGCATTTTTTTTTTTTAACCTCAAAGAACCTTACGTCTGGTTATTTCTTTTTTAAAGGCGTTTTAAATTGTTAGGACCCTTCCTTTAAACTGACTTCTGGGAAAAAAAAAAAAAAAAGAAAAAGCCCCAAAACTCCATGCTGCTCGACATCAGCCACGCCGATGCCATGGTGCAGTCAGGAGTGAACCCGCCTCGTCTTTCCCCAGCTCCCTCTGCAGTCCAGGGAACGTGAGGAAAAGAAGGTTTGCTTGTTTCCCCAGTAAATGCTTCCAAAGGAATTCACTGAGTTTAATAAAAAAAAATGTTACAAATTACAAAGGAACTCCAGGAAGCTGAATACTTTTAGGATTCCCCCCCCTCCCCCCCCTCCCCCCAGCTGAACTGTGTTTTGTTTGGCTGACTTAGGCTGATCCAGAATTCATTTTATTTTCAGGCTTTTGGTTCAGCTAGCAAATCAGAAAAAAGAGTTATAGAGCTCTACTTGGAAAATCATTTCACAGCCTAAAAGAACTCCTCATAATTGCAATTATACACAAATATATATCTGTGGTATTTTCACCAAAAAAGCGATATTATTCAGTAAGAATACACATATTTCAGGAAACCACATAAACCTGGAAATGAAGACTATTTCATATAAATATAGAAAAGGTTGCGACTGTAAAAATTATAAAGGAACACATGCTTCTAATGAATAGGAAAATTGTACCTGAATCATCACCCAAACATCTACATACCAATTGAAAAAAAAAAAGCAAATCTATGGAGTTTTGAGAAATTTGGAGGTACTTTGTATATTGATTGCACTAGAAATTGTGAATGAGCAATCTGACCTTTCTATATTACTCAGTGTCTCCATTTGTTATGCCAGTGCTGAAAGCATTGACAAAATCTCTTCCAAAAAAAGTTTCTTTATTAATTCTTACTACAATCAGCAACAAGCGAGAGGATTGCTTTCACATCTTCAACACCATCAGCATGCTGTAGGGCAGGTTCTGGAGCACCAGACAGGAGCCAGAAGGCTCTGGAAGGCCTCTTAGAGGTCTACCTGCTGTAGAGAGATTCAGGCTGGGCTCCACACTCTCCCTCCCACAATATTTTTTAGACTACATCTAACAAGCTTCATACTTTCTCTGAGAGAAGGGGGAAAAAAAAGGTTTTCCAAAATGTGCTAAATAAATTCCTGCTCATTATTTCAATCATGATCAGCTTTTAGATGGAAAGTCAGTAAAACTCAGAGAGGGAGTGAGTAGTACAAAAGCATGCTTGAGCCCACCCACCCTGCACAATGTATATGTATACCAGGTGGAAAGCCATCACACTGAATTTCAGTGAAACTGAGGGGACAGTCACAAAGAACATATATATATATATATTTATATCTATCTATCTGTATATACGTGGTCACTGTTACAGTTCAGCTGAGTGACAGGAACTTGCTAAAATATGTGACACAGCTGTAAGTCTTCCTCCCCAGACTTAAAAAGACATTAATTACTTTAAAAAATTGCATTAAAGCTCATAAATTGTTTAAGGCAGCTTTGAAAAATATTTGCTCTGTTGAGTGAATCCAGTTCCAGGAAATATCAGACAGATCTCAATGCATACAGTCTCTTAGAAATTGAAGCCATAAATCATCATAAGCCTTTGCTTGGAGTGATTTGTTCAGCGAGTATGAGGAGGTAATTTGTATTCTGGTACTTAAAACAATAAATTCTCTTTGCAGAATTTTTGCACCTTTCTCAGCTGGTTTGAAACCTGATTTCTATAAATCAAATTTGACTTTTAACTGCATCATCCAATTTGAAAGCAACATGAAGTCAACCATCTTGACAATTCAGCAGATGAGAGATCATCTGGCAGAATAATAGCTGAATATAAGGATTAATTACCCATCGACAGATATTTGCGTTAGAGAGAAAATTAATCAGAAAGATCCTTTCTGCACCACTTCTGAAAGAAAAGGCAACCTCATTTCTGTCATATACATACAGTAAGAGGGGAGCTCAACTTCAGAGATCTCCTCCCCTTCACAGCAGTGGCAAACTTCTTGGGGCTCTTTCTAATTGGTGCCTGTGCTTTCAAATTGAAACAGGGTCAAACATCTCCAAACCCCCAAGGGATTTTTGGGACCATTATGTTCACAAAGGCCAAGTTAAAACCCTGTTCTGAAAATTTCCAGCTTTGTGTGTTTAGAAATGCAAATCAGAATTTTTGTTTTTTAATCTGGTATAGGTATTGCTTAATGTAAGAGTATTTGATTTTGGAAATGTTGTCTTTTTAATGCATTTCAAAAACTTGCTTTGGACTTTTTTTTTTGCTTTTGCTTCTCTGTGCAGGTGCTTCTCTTCCCCTGTGCAATGAAAACATTACAGTTGTCCTCTTTCTTATCTCTGCTCTCACATACAAACAATCCCAGATAATGTTATCTATCTCTGTAGCAACAAATCTATTCTGCATCACTGGGTTATCTGATCTTCCTGCCTGGTTTTCCAGAACAGATACTCCATCATAAATGCATCAGTTCACAAGGGATGTTTTTGATGGTGGTTCTCACTGAACCAATGTGTGATTCTATCTGTAATTTGAATTATGCTTTTCTGTTTATCATATCTGAGACAGGCATCCTCTCTTAGAGAGAACTCTCTCTGTCATCCTCTCCTAGTGTATGTGTGTGTATGGAGTCTTCAACAGAAGCAGTAAAGGATTTTGTTTGCTGGCAACTTCCACAGCTCAGATTTCTCTTTCAGGCTCGTAATGAGTCTTCCAGGTCTCAGAGGAGTAAGATTTGGAGTACTCTTCTAACAGCAGTGGTGGTAACAACTGATCTAATGGATTTAAATGAAACTTACTCTCTGGAGGAACAGCATAATGCTGGCAGAACTTGATTCCATGGTTAAGCCTATTTTATAAATACAATGGGACCACAGCACAGGTTTGGCTGGCTCAAGTCATCCATGCTGTTTGTTTGCTTGCACACTGCCTGGCCTGTGTCAACTCTCCCAGGTAATGACTGCACATGTTCTAGGGATATTACAGCCCAGGGGCTATATCCAGTAGACAGTATGGAAAAGATTATCCTGTTTTGGGAGGCAAGAGTGTTTATCCATATGACTGTGACTACACAATGCTACTTGCCTTCCGACACAGAAAGCCCCTAGTCTACTTTATTTAGCTGTTACAGGTAGCCAGTGACTCAAGCAGATCCTCCGTCCTGCCCAGCCTGGATCTAGGAAATAGTCAATATACCTCTGACCATGCTCAGTGTCCTTAATGACAGTCTTGAAGGATATGCAGCCCCATTCCTTCTGGATGAAGTACACACATTCATCACCCTCTTAGACTCTGCTCCTGGCCCACTTGTCTTATTCAAAGAGTCAGCAGGAGAAGATACCTGCAGTGCTAACGAGCAGCCTATTCAAAATAAATAGCTATTTACTTCATCTACCTCTAAAAATACAAAAATGGGAAAGAAAATAATATATTGCCTTGACTAAGTATAGTACTTCTTTCAACACTGTGTAGACCCCAGCTAGTTACGATACCCTTCCCTGTGGCCTGGGTTATAGCCTGCCTTCTGACAGATCCTTCCTCTCTCATTTGCTCCTTGGCATGGGTTTCCAGTTTCTTAGGAACTCCCTATGATGATTCTGCCCTTTCTGACCTAAGCCTTCTCTGCCAGAGCAGAAACTTTGAACAATTACCATGTATTGCTTTTCAGCCATCAAACACTGTTCCTGCACACTTGTCAGACTTTCAGAGTGTCTGTGGCAACACCCAGAACTCAGTCACCTTTCTGCCCCTCTGCAGCAGACTACACAAAGGTAATGAAACAAGAAGAACAATTAATATCTACAGAAAATAAGACAAGTCCTTCTGTGTCACTCAGGTCCACACTCAGACTTCCTGTAGTAGTACCATTGGCTACAAAAGGCTGGGACTCTCACACACTATACACATTCTCAGGTAGTAGCAGACAGCCCAGATGCTCAATGCTAGGCAGAGTGTAGACTCAGAACTCATGCTCTGCCTTTGTAGACTGGCTTCCTAATTGTCGTATCTGGTATTTGGTCATTGCAGAATGCTTCTCATTCTCTAGCAGAAGACTCTCATTACTGTTGCAAGCTCTGAAGTAGAATAACAAGGCTTTCTTGGTGGAGATTCAAGTCTGAGGTTCTTCTACCTGTGCTTTGTTAGAACCAGGACTCCATCAGTTTGCAGTTCAAGTGCCACCTAAGACTGCTGACCAACTTTCACTCTGGTGATAACTGTACGTTAAATATGTGGCTTTATTTAGAAATCTTAGTGGCATTTACACAGTTCCAGTTCACAGCATTTACTGGACGTCAGCTGTGTTTCATGACAGTTTTATTACCCTACCTGTGGAAAACCTCAGCCTTCCAGACACTGAATACAATGCAGCTCATTGTATTCGGAGACAGAACACTATATTTTACTGGATTAAAAGTAACTGCGGTGGAACCAAGTTTCCGATACAGTATTTCTAATGCAACTTTGGACTAAATCTTGTTCCTATTTTTAATGTCTACAATAGTGCAAGGATGAAGTGAATATATGCTAAATTGTTAACTTTAAACTATGTGCAGTAGTCAAGTAATTACGGAGAAAGCTTGAGATAGAAAAGTATTTTCTGTATGGTTCTGAGCTATAAGAAAAAAGGTCTGAAATCCTTGCTTCAGTTAAGTCACATTGCCTACAGCAAGGCCAGAATTTTACCTAAAGAATTAAAAGAAAGTAAGAGACAAAATAAGATGGGAGTGTAGTGTTTTGCAAAGGAGTCATGTAGCATATGATTGCCCAAGGCTGAATTTTACAGTCATTGTTTCAGGACCCAAACATGACTTGGGAAAAGCAATCACTTTCCCATCAGTTACCACACTTAAGAAGAGATGGAATTTTCCATCATTTCATAACCTGCAGTGCTGTGATTTCTCCTTCAGATTAGGAATTGCAGCCAACTGATAATGGAAAAAAATCTGCCAGCCCATATGGTAGAAAATTCCGAGAAATATTAGTACATTTAGTCTAAAAAATACCCCAGTGATGTAGATTTGGAAAGAGAATGTTCATTTTATAGCAGAGTTTCACTTAATACCATTAGTAGCACTAAGGATCCTTTAGAACTGAGGATGCTGTGTAGTCTGACACAAGTGGCAATGCAGGCAATTCATGATGTTACTGGGCCACGGGTAAACAGCAAGGTTAAGAAATAATCTGAAGCACCACTAGGCTGTAGAACGTAATCAGAACTAGAATGTAATCAGCTGTCATTTCTGATGTGTGGTCTGTTCAA